GTGGTGGTGGGGTGGTTGTGGTGGTTGGTGGTGGGTAGGGTTGGTGGGTGGTGGTGGGATGGTTGGGGTAGTGGTGGTGGTTGGTTGGGTGGTGGTTGAGGCAGGATTGGTCGTGGTGGTTAGTTGGTTGGGATTGGTCGTGGTGATTGGTTGGTGGTGGTTGGTAGGTTGGTGGTTGGTGGGATGGTGGTGGTGATTGGTGGTGGTTGGGGTTGGTGGTTGGTGATTGATTGGTGGGATGGTCAAGTAATTGGTGGTTGGTTGGGAGTGGTGGTTGGTGGTGAATTGGTGGGGTTGGTTGGGCGGGTGTTAGGGTGGGTGGTTGGGGATGGTGGTTGGTTGGGGTTGATCGTGGTAGTGGTGGTGGGGTGGTGGTGGTGGTGGGTGGTGGGGTTGTGGTTGGTGGGGTGGTGTGGTAGTGGTGGTGGGGTGGTGGTGGTGGTGGGGAGTTGGTTGGGATAGGTGGTTGGTTGGGATTGGTGGTTGGGGTTGATTGGTTGGTTGGTGGTTGGTTGGGTTGGTTGGTTGGTTGGGTTGGTTGGGGTTGGTGGTTGGTGGTTGGTTGGGATGGGTGGGGTAGTGGTGGTAGTGGTGGTGGGGTAGTGGTGGGATAGTGGTGGTGATACACAGTAGGAGTTACCTGTACTGTACTGTAACTATAGTTAATTCATGTATAAATTAAAAAAAATATTAATATTACTTATATGCAATGTATCTTCATCTTTATATATATAACAGAACTAACACATAAAATATATAGATCACCTGAAGATTAATCACTCCAGTTATTTCATCTGATAATGAAACAACAACCTAACCAAACCTAACTCCACTAGTGGTGTTAGGGATTTCATCACGTGAAATAAGGTGGGGTATCTAATCTTAAGGTGTTACATATATAATGCCGTAACAAATGGCAATACACTGAATAAAAATAAAATAACAATTAATAGTAGAGACTCTTCAAATATAAACATACTCAGTAATCTACTTTAGCATAATAATCTAGGATTACCCGAACCTGTTGTGATGAAACACTCGCGATGGCTGACGACAATATTTACACCTGACGACAACACTCGCTATTTCTGACACAAGTAATGGGTTTAGGGCGACCTACGGGAGGCTTCGGATTGATTTACTAACTTATGAGTATTTCATGGCTACAGGTAAATATAACATCCTTAATTATGGATGAAATAAGCTTCTGTAGGCCACAGCTTTTGACACAGTAATTCGGGTTGCTTTCTCTGCCCCTTGTGTTGCCAGTTGAAGTATTCTAGCAAATTTTAATCGAATTACTGAGTTACCATTCGCTTATAACTTTACTCTAGCAGAATCACCCATCGCTTATAGACCTAACAAACACTCATTTGTTAACTTTAAAGGCCAGGTTGTCAAAATAACCCGGGCGGAAGTAACCATGTGCAGGAGAGATGGTGAGGGGTTACAGCTCAGCCTTGTGGTACGCCAGCGGACGACGGAGTGATTCACCCTAACCTCTCCTGTAACATTATTTTTTTCTTGTTCGTCTGTGAGCACCGTCTATCTCCCTCCTGCCACCCCATCGTGAGTCATGGGTTACCTATGAGGCTCTTAGTGAGTTGCTCTCATCTCTCACTAGGTCACAGTTTAAGCAAAGAAACATTATTTACTTCTCTATACACGCTAATTACATTGTACACTTACTTGAATACCTATTTATCTATTTATCTTGCCGAGTTTTGTTTAACCTCATTGCATACTCTAAGTGAATGAAAATATAAACTCGTAAAAAAACCTAACACTTTTAATGACAACCTCCAGTATTATGATTTTACCCCTGAGTACGATAAATTGATTGAATGATTCCCAACATGGCTTCACAAGTGGACGTTCATGTCTGACAAATCTATTCTCATTCTTTTCAACTGTTTTCGAATGAGTGGATGACGGTTACGATTATGATGTGGTTTACCTCGACTTAGGCAAAGCTTTCGACAGGGTTACCCATGAAAGACTACTACGTAAAATGGAGCCACATGGACTAGGATGACATTCTAAACTGGATTAGGGCGTGGTTACAGGGGTTCCATGACAAAACCCCAACCGGGTTGTCATTTGTCAACACTAACCTAACCTAAACATAAAAGTGTTTTATTTTATATTTTATATATGAGACTGGGGTTTTGTCCGTTGGGGTTTTATCCGGCCACCGGTTACAGGACAGGAAACAGCGAGTAAGCATTAACGGCACTAAATCCGATTGGGGAAACGTCACTGGTGGAGTACCCCAAGGCTCAGTACTTGGACCATTACTATTCATTACATACATAAATGAGGTATAGGCGTAGACAGCAACATAAGAAAATTTGCTGATGACACTAAAATAGGGAGTGTAATTAAATCTGACGAAGACTCCGCAAAACTACAGGAAGATCTAAAAAAAAAAATTTATTGTCTGGAAAATGGCAGATGAAATTTAATGTGGACAAATATAAAGTACTTAGTCTAGATGTAAACAGGGAAACCAGTTACCAGATGAACAACGATGCCATTGAGAAATCCGACTGCGAGAGAGTAATGATAAGTAGGAACCTTAAGCCAAGTAAACAATGTGTATTTGCTCAAAACAAGACTAGCAAAGTACTTGGGTTCATACAAAGGAGTGTTAGTTACAAGACTAGCGAGGTTATCCTTAAAAATATATCTTGCGCTTGTTAGACCTCACTTGGATTACGAAGTTCATTTCTGGTCACCGTATTACAGAATGGATATAGAATCCCGAGAAAGAATCCAGAGGAGAATGACAAGACTAATCCCGGGCATTAGGAATCTTGAGTATAGAGACAGGTTAAAGCATCTGAATTTGCACTCCCTCGAGAGACTTAGAGTGAGGGGCGACATGATAGAGATGTATAAATGGAAGTCATGGTTAAACAATGGTGATATAACAAAGGTAGTTAAACTATCCAACCAGGAGCGAACTCGCAACAATGGTTTTAAATTAGACAAATTTGGGTTTAGGCGCGAGATAGGTAAACACTGGTTTGGAAATAGAGTAGTGGACGAGTGGAACAAGTTACCAAACATAGGTTGGGTGGATATTTGAGCGATAGGGGTTGGGTGTTAACGGGGCTACCCCGTATAGGCCAATATGCCCGCTGTAGTTTCCTCCTTTCTTGTGTTCTTAATCCAAGGAAACTACAAAGTTGGTCTGCGTTTTTAGGACAAGGAAATTGCTTCGCCGTTTTAACCTTACAATATACAGTGTGTATTCCGTTGTCATTGTCTACCTGCCCTAGAAACTGGATTCTAGATTTAAGAAATTCACATTTGGAAAGTTTTACTTTCAATTCAGTAATCTGGAGGTTTGTGACGACTTCTCGTAGATTCTTTAAATGGTTCTGTTCATCTTTGCTTACTATGATAAGATCATCTACTGTAGATATGGATAAACTATGTTTCCTATCATTCTAGCAAACAGTGTGTTGATAATGCGTTAGAATGTTAGAGGTGCATTCCTTCAGCCAAATGGGATTCCTCTTGTAAGGAAATTTGCCAGTTTCCGTTAAATAGTGATTGTAATGTGTCAGTTAGGACAGGCATTGGGAATCTGTCTGGTACAGTTGGTTGATTGACTCGTCAAAAGTGTATGGCTGGTCTCCATCCTCCATCTTTCTTGGGGACAAGGAACAGGAGTGAGTTCTAGGGTGATACTGAAGGTGGGCTAACTTCTTGTTCTACCATTTGTTGTACCATTTGGCTTTGGAGTAGTCGATATGCTTGTATATAAATCGGGTGAGTGTCCGACTTGAGTGGAATGTGATGGGTTGTCAACGTCGTTTTACCAGGTGACACTATGATGTCCTTATACTCGGCTAGTAGAGTAATTCTAATAGATAACTTTTACCATGAGGGTGATGAACAATTTTCATGTGTGGAGTTATTAATGTGACTTTACCTTGGATACGTGGCTTTTCATTTAGACGCCCTTATATACTACCACTTGGTAATTGTACTGGTCCCGCAATGACAGCGTTATCATAAACAAGGAAATTACCCAAACAACATCCCTTTCTTTAGGTTATAGGTCCCCCGGTTTATTTAGAACAAGGACATCGGAGAGACTACCTAACCTGACTGTGCTTAAGGTATAGACTCGAGTGACTAGCCTTTCGCTCATTCACTTTCACCCAGAGACACATGTCATTACACGAACACCCGAGGTAAACAACAGACATTAGGCGTGCACTGGGTAATGAGTATCAGAATTATGCGGTATGATATGATTTCTTGTCTGAAGGTTAATGTTATATAAGTATAGTGTGGAAAGACCATGTAATCCATACGTTGGCAAGATGAATGGCTGTATTATGTAGAAATCCGCCAGGTAGTGTTATTGGACCTAGAAAGACGGAGTGGCAGTGTTGTCACCCCCCCGCTATGTCTAATTGCATTACTGACACATCGGACAGAGGAATGTCTGAAGGTATAATTGTCCACTTATTAGGAGGATATCGCCGCTTTAATTCTTTGACACACGGTAATGAGATCTCCATTAGCACAGACTCCCGTATCAGTGTCTAGGAACGACTCGTGGTTACCTATCCTCGCTCAACAACTGTACGGGGGGCAGCTGTCTGGGGGGGCAGTTGTCTGGGGGCAGCTGTCTGGGAGGCAATTTTCTGGGGGCAATTGTCTGGGGGCAGCTGTCCAGGAGGAAATTGTCTGTTGTCTGGGGGCAGTTGTCTGGGGGCAGTTGCCCAGGAGGCTGTCTTGGGGCAGTTGTCCAGGAGGCAGTTGTCTCTGTCTGGGGGCAGTTGTCTGGGGGCAATTGTCTGGTGGGCAGTTGCATGGGCAGTTGTCTGGGGGCAGTTGTCTGGGGGCAGTTGTCTGTTGTCTGGGGCAGTTGTCTGGGGGCAGTTGTCTGGGGGCATTGGGGGCAGTGTCTGGGGTTGTGGGCAGTTGTCTGGGGCAGTTGTCTGGGGGCAGTTGTCTGGGGCAGTTGTCAGGGGCAGTCAGGCAGTTGTCTGGGGCAGTTGTTCTGGGGGGGCAGTTGTCCAGGAGGGGTCAGTTGGGGGTCTGGGCAGGAGTCTGGGGCGGTTTTCTGGCAGTTGTCCAGGAGGCAGTTGTCTGGGGAGTTGTCCAGGGGCAGTGTGGGGGGGTTGTCTGGGGCAGTTGTCTGGGGGCAGTTGTCCAGTTGTCTCCAGGCAGTTGTCCAGTTGTCTCTGTTGTCTGTTGTGGGCAGTTGTCTGGTGGGCAGTTGTCTGGGAGCAGTTGTCTGGGGGCAGTTCTGGGGGAACAGTTGTCCAGGAGGCAGTTGTCTGGTGGGCAGTTGTCTGGGGGCAGTTGTCTGGTGGGCAGTTGTCTGGTGGGCAGTTGTCTGGTGGGCAGTTGTCTGGTGGGGTTGTCTGGGCAGTTGTCTGGGGGGTTGTCTTGGCTGGGGGCAGTTGTCCAGGAGGCAGTTGTCTGGGTTGCTGTCGGGGCAGTTGTCTGGTGGGCAGTTGTCTGGGGGCAGTTGTCTGGGGTGGGCGGTATGTGGGGCAGTTGTCTGGGGGCAGTTGTCTGGTGGGCAGTGGGGCAGTTGTCTGGGGGCAGTTGTCTGGTGGGCAGTTGTCTGGGGGGTTGTTTGGGGGCAGTTGTACGGGGACAGGTCTTGGGCTGTTGGGGTTGTCTGAGGGCAGATGTCTGGGGGACAGTTGTTCTGGGGACAGATGTCTGAGGGCAGATGTCTGGGGGACAGTTGTGTGGTGACAGTTGTCTAGGGGGGCAGGTGTCCATGGTGGCAGTTGTCCGGGGCAGGTGTCCAGGGTTGCAGTTGTCCGGGGCAGGTGTCCAGGGTTGCAGTTGTCCGGGGCAGGTGTCCGGGGCAGGTGTCCAGGGTGTAATAATTTTTTATCCGACCATCGCTTATTGTACAGCCTAGAGAAGAACAACACATATAGCAGAAACTAGATTCTCAGGTGTATACTGACGTAAGTTGACCCATCCTTCGGAGTTAAAAGTGAGATTAAGATCTGACCCAACAGAGGTCACGGTCACAATGAAATAGAGTTCTCGCCGCTGCATGATTCGTCAGGGGGGCGTCAGGACATACGCACCCAAGTAATAGGTAATAAATATTAATAATGGTTGCCCCTCGTGTAACGAGGATGGCCGGCCCAAGGGCCAACACATCAAACACCCTAAGTTAACGAGCTGCATGACCCAGTGTCAAGGAATAGTCCGAAAAGACCGGACAACTCCACTGGCTAACCATTACCCCGGAATACGATCCACAAATCGTTTAACATCCACGTCCCCAATTACTGCTGGGTAGACAGAGGCAAATGACGTAAAGAAACTTACCCATAGTTTCACCCTACTCGGAGATCGTACCCGGGTCTGTTCGCTTACGAGGCGAGCATGCTTACCATTACACCATAGGTAATAAGTAGCGTGGCACTATCAAACAGGGAGGTACTACCACCTGGGAAGATATTGGAAGGATAATATGTTGCCTAATGGTGGACCCTGCTGCCGCATGTGACCAAGTCCCAGGTTGCTGATCTGACTTTCTGCCTCATTTATACACAATTGAAGGGTCTTAATTGTTGCTTTTATTTTAGCAACACAACATATATATCTTTTCTCGCTCTTGGTGTGTTTTCTTTTTTCTTTTCTTTTATTCTCCAATGATATCAGTTTACAATAATATTAAAGTGGGGCCTTTTAGGATTGGCCCCACTGGTCGGGAAGGTTGTGGACTCTAATAAGGCCGACCTGATCATCATTAAGTCGGTTGCTGGAGGATCGGCTTTTCTCACACTTAATTTTTTCAACATTCGCGGCCTGAGATCCAATTTTCAGTCTGTGGAGTACCATCTATTAACGTCTTCCCCTGATGGCTTACTATTAAATGAACTTCAACTGACCAAAGCAGCTTCACCCAAACCTTTTCAAGTCTCCAACTACAACCTTTATACCTCCTTCCGTTCTAGAGGAGGTGTGCGCGCCTACTGCAACACACGAACACCTACAGCTAGACTCACGGATCTTGAATATTCTCTTTATGATGTCATCTGGCTCAAAATATCTCTATCAACTATGACTATTTTTCTTTGTTTCCTGTACTGTTCTCCCAACTCCACCAACTATTTCGAACTTTTTGACTATCTCACTTCTTGCTATGAGTCGTTGCTATCCACACACCCCAGCCTTGAGGATTTCAACATACATCACAGAGAGTGGCTTGGTTCTGCAAGGGATGACCCAGGTGGAGCTGAGGCACTCTGTTTTTCCTTACTTAATGATCTGGAACAAAATAGTTAAACACCCTACACGTGTTCCAGACCGACACGACCAACTCGCTAACATTCTTAATCATTGTTTTACCTCTAACCCCTCACACTATCCAGATTCAATTTCTGCCCCCTTAGGGTCTTCTGATCACAATCTTATTTCTATGAAATCAAACTGGGCACGACCAACTATGGCACTATCGAAGGGCGAACTGGAAATCCTTGCGAGAATTCTTCTCCGACTTTCCCTGGGTATGTGCTGACAGCATTGCTGGGGTTATACAGGGCGGTATGAGTGCATTTATCACATCTTCTTCCAAAACTTTCATTTTGCAATCATGGTTTGGTCGCTCCTGTTCTCTCGCATGTAGGGAGAGAGATATGGTGTATCAAGTTATGAAACTATCTCCTTCTCCTGTTACTAATTCCTCTTTCGTTACTTCTAGGAATCATTGTAAGACTATTCTTCGGAGGGCCAAGAGGAATTTTATAAAAAGAAAGACCGCTGACCTGACTAACTCTTCCTCTAGTAAATCCTTCTGGTCCTTAACAAAAAAGATCTGTAATAACTTCTGCAGTCCCTCTTTTCCTCCTCTCTTCCGACCTGATAACTCTATAGCCAACTCTCCCCCTGATAAAGCCAATCTCTTTGCACTTTTTTCTCCTTTAACTCCACCTTAGACAATTCCAACTCTATTTCTCCTATCTTGCTCCTCCTACTGAGCCTATGCACTTTCCTATAATCTGCACTCTCAGGGTTGTTGGTGTGTTATCCAGGTTGGATGTAAGGCGCATGTACAGGACAGAATACCCCCTCATGTTCTGAGGGAGTGTGCTGAAATTCTGTCCCCTGTGCTTGCTCGCCTCTTTCGTCTTTGCCTCAAAACCCAAACTTTTCCTTCTTCTTGGAAGCATGCCTCGGTTCAGCCCATCCCGAAGAAGGTGACCATTCCAATCCCTCTAACTATCGCTCCATTGCCCTAACTTCATCCCCCCTGAAAAATTTTCGAAACTATCCTAAACCTATTCTCTCCATCACCTTGAACGCTTTTCTCTTTTGTCGGATCACCAGTATGGCCTCCGCCAAGCGAGATCTACTGGTGATCTGCTCTCCTACTGCACCCATCTTTGGTCATCCTCTCTTAGGGATTATGGGGAAACTTTCGTCGTGGCCCTCGACATCTCCAAAGCATTTGACAGGGTATGACACAAGTCTTTGCTTTCTAAACTTCCCTCTTATGGTTTCTCTCCTCCACTTTGTTCTCTAATTTCTGGCTTCCTCGAGAACCGATCCATGGCAGTTGTTGTCGAGGGATCTATCTCTCGCTCTTTCTTTACCAATAGTGGTGTCCCACAGGGGTCTGCTCTTCCACCTACTCTTTTCCTTCTTTTTATCAATGATTTACTTCACTTTACGACTAATTCTATCCATTTTTATACTGATGATTCTACTCTTCACTCTTCTTCACATTTTCCCCTTCCCCCTAATTCTCAAACTATATCCGTTTGTAGAGCTGATATCGTTTCACCTACCAATGCGAATCTGTGCAGCATCTCCGAATGGGGAGGAAGAAATTTGGTTGATTTTAATAGTAATAAAACACAATATTTACCAGTTACACTTTCCAAATTAGAAGATCTCCCACCAATCACATTTCAGGACGCAATCATTCTGCCAAGTTCTAAAATAATTATACAAGGTCACACCATTTCCTCTGATATGTCATGGAAGCCATACATCCTCAACATTGCTAAAGCTACCTCCCGAAAGTTGGGAATGCTGTACAGAAACTGTAGCTACTTCACTCCTGAGCGGTTACTTCAAATTTATAAGGGATTCATTCTTCCTAACTTGGAGTACTGCTCTCATATCTGGGGTGGCTGCAATGTTGCTTCACTCTCTTTTACAGGTACTTTAACGGGCAATGTTCGGTTTATTTGGCATCCTGTGTACAGCTGGCAAGGCCGTGGGCTCGTAACACACGTCTTGCCCGCGGTGCCCACCGTTTCTCTGTGGATGTCGGTCACACGAGAATAACCCGTTTTAGTACATCCTTCTTTCCTCACACAGTCAAACTGTGGAATGCTCTGCCTTCTTCTGTGTTTCCATGCTCTTACAATCTGTCTCACTTCAAAAAGCTGGTTTTCCGGCATTTTTGTGGTGTAGATTAACATTCTCTTCTAATTTTTTTATCTACTCTTATTTCTTGCCCCTCCCCAGGCCTAGTTGTGGGTGGATGACCTATGCCCGGGTAGGCTATTCCCCTTAAAAAAAAGGGGGGCGGGGGGACGTGTAATACGTCTCTTTACTGTTGATACCACCTAAGTGCTTCCTTTATTTCGTTACTTTGAATCTTAACAGCCATTCCTTTGACCACTCCTGAAGCTGCCAGAGATCTTCCTGTAACATTTCACAGTTCGTTTCGTTCCAATTTCCCTGAATAACTTGACATCGCTCGCAAATATTTGTATGGAGGAGTGAATAGCTTCTAGTATATCATTTATGAAACAAACAAACATTAACGGGCCCAGTACACTGCCCTGTGGTACCCGGCATGTCACGGCTACACATGATGATTTCGTACCACTAATAACCACACTCTCCTTGCGTTATGAAGAAAGTCTCCAATCAACGCTAGGACACTTCCCCAAAATCTGTAATCTTCCAGTTTAATTTTCAGCCTTCCATGGGGTCTGATGTCAAAAGCCTTGGTAAACTCCTAATATTAATCGATAATGCCTCCCTGTCCCAAGATCAGAGTTCACCTTTCTAGCACCTGAGTAAATGCGTCAAGCGGCACTGAGCATGCAGGCATAAAACAGTGTTGGCAGTCCCTTACAAGGTAATAATAGTAGATGTCCATCATGGCATCTCTTATAATGTCATTTTCCAGTCGCTGGGAACCTTTGTTTGTCCATATATCTGCAGAATGGGATTTTAAGAGGCTCAGCAAGCTCGTTCATAAATTACGCTCTTAACACTCTGGGATGCACCTCAGCATTGACAATTTGTTTTTAATACACTTCTTTGAGAACTCAATGTGCGTCAGCGCTGTGTCAAACCGTCTTTCCTCAAACACAGAAGTCGTTCGCATCCTCTCTTGTGAATATTGAAGAAAATAATTTATTTAACGCCTCTTTCTTGTCTTGATCAGAGTCTGCGTAACTACCATCTTCAAGTCTCAGGTCTGATACGCTTACATTTGCTTCAAAGAGTTCCTTTCCCCCCTGCGGTGACGTTTGCGTATATGCGGCACCATCGCAATATTAAACGTATAAATGAATGGGTAGTAGTCCTGTAACGAGGAAGGTGATTGGTAGACAAGTTAGGGTGGTGGACGTCAGGGGCAGTAGCAACCCAACAAGAGGCTGGTCACAGCTGCACGGCGCCACTCCCGAACTGCTAATTCTCTTCATATAAACTTTGATAGGGGTTAACAATAATATAAAGATTTAGCATGTGTGCGGGCATTGTGATGATGTATCGGCTAGAACATTGCAGATCACCTTTGAAATTGATTTCGTACTGATTAACATGACATCCCGTCCAATCTTACCATACACGGCGGATTGGACTGTCAATCGGCCTGTTGGCCAATAATATAAAGTCTCAGTTTTCAAATTCGACGAAGGTTCGAAAATGGCAAGCACTGAGGTGTAACGTTAATTGATTAATCGAAAATGCAAAGCGGCAACCTTTCACAGTCCAGGTGAGGCTTTGGGGTGGTGACATATTTGCCAATAATACATTTACTGTATGTCCAAGGCATGAATAAACCCATATAAACTCCTTGTATAGTGCTGATGGGAGACGTAAAGAAGAACCCGCATATTTCACCTCAGCTGCAGTGATGGCCACACTACTCTTCTCTCTCATTCTTCTTCTGTTTTGTTTCCCTCGGTTTTCTTTATCCCTGTGCCCCCAAATAACAAGGGAACGTTCTACCCCGATCGAGGCTTACGATAAGAAGTAAATTATAATAAAAATGATCCAGTACATTCTAGAAAATTCTTCCATAGGTAATACATTACAATGTGCCAAAATAACTGCTGCTTGGAATAGAAAACAGTCAATAGGTGACAAATTATAATAATAAATTATGACTCGGTATAACAATATATACTGTACATTGTTATGCCGAGGCATAATTTAGTATTACAAATTTTGTGAGCTAAGTGTTCAAAGAAAGACCAAACACTGAAAATGAAAACTGCGCAGCATGGCAGTATAATCAGAAATATCCAGCTTAACCATTTGTGGACTAGGCTAACAGTAATAGAAGTACTGTAATATGGACTTGTGGTTTGCCTCTGTATTGTTCTTATGTAAATCTAAGGGATGTAATGCTTTTATTTTTTGTATAGATATATGGATAAAGAATTACTGTACTATCATTTTGCTCTTGTCTAAATGTCCCTTCTATGATACAGTATTCTATCATCTCATTTTGTTATATCCTTTTTTTCAGATGCTACACCTGTATTTTATTGCTGTAGGACAGTTATAAGATGAGTAAAGCCTAGATAGATTCTGGCAAACTCTGTTTCATAACAATTTATTCATCCATCTTAACTGTCACGAGTCACCATGGAAAAGTTTCTGCGGCCAGAGATTGTATTTTGCCCCGAACTCGCCAGATGCACCTAAGGAGTGGCGTCACTGGTACAGCACATCTGCAGCTTCCTTGAATCCATTGAATCCCATACACCTGGCAAATTGAACACCCTCATCAACTTTGTGTCTCCTAGTGTATACGAATACATAGGCGATAGTGACACTTACGAAGCTGCAGTAGAGATTCTTCAAGACCCCAACTTGAAGCCCAAGAATGAAACCTTCGCTCGGCATGTTCTGGCCACAAGACGGCAACGTCAAAGCGAAACATTGGATGAATACTTACAGGAACTTCGCCAGCTCAGTAAGAAGTGCAACTTCAAGGCTGTTCCAGCAGAACAGAACCGAGATGACTATATACAGTATAAGAAACTCTTTCATCAATGGACTCATGACACCACTGATTCGTCAGCGCCTCCTAGAAACTAAGAGTCTGGATCTACAAAGAGCCTTTGACCAAGTTAAGGCACTGGATCTCGCTCAAAGGAATTCTGAGGCCTATTTATACAAGGATCATCTCTAGTAGTAAGCTCTACTTACTACCTTAGTAAGGTAGATAGTAAGGAAACCTTACAAAAAAAGACCGCTGACACACTAAACGAAAGGAAAATATTATTTCTTTAATATGACCTTATAATAGGCCTACATTTTAAAGGCGAACAAATTATTACTGAATGTTTTGTCAATATCTTTAAAATCTTAAAAAATATCTTGTAGCAGCGTTTGGCATACTAACCTCTCACAAAACGATTTTCCCGCCGAATGTTAAGATAACAATCAATGTTTATCTTCTTATTTTAATAACAAATCTAACTGACAATTAAAACAAATAAAACAAAATTGGTAAAAAAAAAAGTTATTTCTTATGATGTACTTTCAGAAGGTAACAGTGCGTCAGTCCGATTTATATAATTATAATTTCGATATACTGGAAGTATCTGATCATTTTGTAGTCTCGTCTCTAGAAGATCCCTAACTGTAAGCATCCTTGCGTGACTTTTTCACGCAAATTCCTCTCGCCAGCTTTAGTCCTGATTTTTATTTAATTGATTACCGTATTCTTTCTATGAAACAAGTCTATCTTAATTCATTCTTTTGATGGAAAACTTGTATAAGCGCACCCAACTGTTAGAAAGAAAACAAATATTTGTTTAGCGTATTTATGTATGTTTAGACCGATTATGACCTTCATTTCCGTCGGAAATTGGCCAGGTTTTTTATAGATTTTTTTTTCTGTGGGGCGTTTTCCGAAAAAAAATGACTAAGTGAATAAAAAAAAAAAGGTAGAAAAACATAAACCTGACCTAACCTAACCAAACTGACTCTCACCATATGATGGAATCACTTATTTCTTACCTTATTGGCCGTCTCTCCTTTGTCTTTGGGATAAGGGACAAGTTACCACAATGCCACATGCATATGTCGTTCTTGATATTTATATTCGTTCTTGCACTTAGGACACTTTACTCCATATAAATGAAGTGACACCCATCGCAGACTTCCATGGTCGGAAATGAATTTGAATTTGGAAATATGAGACCCAAAATAAAGATCGAATTTGATTGGGCCAAAAATACCGCGAATTAAACCACAAATCTTTTTAATTGGTTGCCAAAAATAACGTTTTTGATTAGCCGCGTGACGTGTACGGGAACGCAGGCGCGTGATGATTTATGAAGGAGACAGGCAGCATGGGAAGTGAGGTAGGTGATAATGGCGGAAGATTAATGGAAGAAAATAGAGAAAAATTTGGATACGCTATCTCCGTTATTATACACTTGCGACGGTAATGTAATAGATGAAAATTATCTTATAATTAGACGTCTTATTCGACTATGATAATAGATAAGGGGTAGGAATGACGGGTGCGTAAAGACAATAGTAATACCCTTTTGATAGCTAAATTTTCTGGCATGATGAAATACTTTACCGATATCATTTTTGCAAAACTTTAGTCAGAAGAAAAATGGATAATGAAGTGCTTCCAGCTACTGTCACATCATCCAATCACAAAACGGCTCGTTATATCAGTAGGAGGTGCTTATTTTGGATGACAATAAAAATAAACGATGGACAGTGGACACAAAGGAAAGCAAGACCACAGTGACACCCAGAACCAGTCAGTCTGTCAGCAAACATGTGGATGCCGTGTGTGCAGGTGGTTAGTTGCAAAAGCGTTTCTCACGTGAGTTTCTATATTAATCTATTGCTGTCTTCACTCCTTTAACAATCAGGCATGCTGTGTTAAAACACGGCGGCACCTATTTCTGCATCTCGAAGTCACTGTCTTAATCCACCTGTTTTTCACCCTTGTGGCTTGGGATATACAGCAGTTATGTATGAGATATGTATGTACAGTGTGTGAAGATGAGATTTCGTTTGTGGGACAAAGAAAAGTAAAGAAACGTTTTATGCCATAACGAGAATTTTTTTTTACTAAAATAGGGTTTTTTGGTTAATATCTAGGACTAACCCGCCAAGGGCTGCAAAGCGCCGATGCGGCCGTATCATCTCGTCCAGAAAATACCTCAAATTTCACCATATCATAGTAAGCTCTTTCTGTTTAATATACAGGGGAAGTTAGGTAAGGTTACGTAGGTTTGTTTGGTTTAGTTGGTTAGGTCTGTTCATACCCACAAACGTTAAGTAGCGTTTATTTGAAGAAAAAAAATAACTACAAACTACAACAGTCCCCACGATAATACAACAATAAAAATCCAGCGTTTTTGTATTTGTTTTCAATCAATTTCGCTCGCGGGTTAGTCCTATATAATTACCGGTAAATTTTTACTTTCGGACATGAGTCCCTAAGGGTTGACCAATATGTTTTTCCAGTATATTTTGGTGTGTTTTAAGCGAATCTGACATTCATTTCTGGCGGAAATTGCTCGTTTTTGCCCCATCCCCCATCCCTACCCCCAAACAATAATGGGGGAGAGCCTCGGAAATCTGGGTTTTGGGTGAAAGAGAACACGAAAACAAGTAATCTAACCTAACCTAACCCCTCGCCGGGGGCTCCGCTCCCTGACCCCTGTTCTTTACGAACCTTCTTGGCCAATTACAGAACTATTGATGCTTGTCCTTTCTAAATTTACAGGATAATTTACAGTGAGGGCACTCAACACGTATAGGGAGAACACCGTGACTATGGAGGAATTGGATAGCATGATCGTCTTTCTCGTAAAACAAAGCAATAAACTTAAAATAATTGTAGAAGCACGATTCACATCCAACTTCTATTACGGCCATTGTCACACTTGTCATTGAATTTTGAAATCGAAATCCTTACCTAGGCTGCTCCCTTTGAAACAAACAAAACAATTGTGATTGGTCGAAAAAAAATCGCGTGATAAGATCAATACATTATTGGTCACGACTGAAAGACTTCACGGATGCGTGATGTACTGTAAACACGCTCATAATTAACTGGGTTTCACTCTGATAACATCTCCTCAGACACAGGCTGAAAAGTACGTAAAA